CCGCTTTACCCCAGTGCAGGCACAGCCCCGTTACCGCCCTTCAACGCTCAACGTCCCACAGTGGGCCAGAAGGCCGGTGGAGGCGGCCAAAACTCTAGACGCGTTTTGAGCTCCAGAGTCGCTAAATGGGACTCGAACCGAACGTGTGACCCCACCAATGGATTGCTCTCCGAACGAGAAATCCATTGGTGGGGTCACACGTTCGGTTCGAGTCCTGTTTAGCGACTCCGGAGCTCAAAACGCGTCTAGAGTTTTGTCCGCCTCCACCGGTCTTCTGGCCCACTGTGCGCTGCCGCCGGGCGGGCCCGGGGTAGGCAGCCCGGTGCGCACGTCTGTTCGACGGGACGGCAGTGTGCCTACCTGCTGGGCGGCCGCGGTGCCAGCCGTCTGATTCCGAACACTGCTTCGTCGCTCTGTCTCTCTCGCACCCCTACGGACCGCCCCATGAGTGCGAGAGAGACAGAGCGACGAAAGCAGTGTTCGGAATCAGACGGCAGCGCAACGTTTTTCGAAGGAAACTATAACTGTGCCGGGAGAAGAGTGGGGCAGTGATAGCCGCGACGGGACGCACGCCGTTCGACCCGCTCCATCCGCACTGCTCCGCACGGAGTAGAGATATCCAGTTTTGCTCGTGCAGTCGCCCCGTCTCTCTCGCACTCGCGGCGCGCTCCGCAGGCGTGCGAGAGAGACGGGCGATTGTTGCGGCGTCGCGCGCGGGCCGCTAACACATTCGACCGGAGACACAAATGGAAGCGTTCCATCACCGCCATGCAAATAGCGCGGCGCGTCGCGGCGCGTCGCGAAGCTCGAAGCAAACTCATTAAACGATATCTCGTTTGAAACGATATCTCGTTTAATTGACGCGGCCGTCGCCAGCCCCGGAGTCTCTCTCGCACCCTGACGGAGAGCCCCGTGAGTGCGAGAGAGACAGAGCGACGCCTCTCAGGCCGGGCTGCGTCGCGCGCCGCCCGTCGAACGGACCGTTACGCTACAACTAAATCTAGCCGGAGCCATCGAGTCCCCGCGACGCAGGCCGACGCAGGCCGCGCGGACGCAGGCTGCTGGCAACTGTCACCGGGGCAGGCGCGGGCAGGCGCCGGCAACCACCGCCTACTGGACGCTTCTGGCGTCGAGCCTCGCCCTGCCAACGGGGAAAAATCATGCCGAAAGGACGCATGCGCACGCGAACACACACTCACACACAACACACACACGTTAAAATTATTACTAATACCTCAGTTTTAAATTTATAAAATATTTTGCAGTCTCGTTTAAATTAATAAAAAAAATCTCGAAATTTTTGAAAATTCTTACTTATTTACGTTTTTTTGCACACTCTTATCCCTTGCGACGTCCAAGTGCCTCTCTCTCTCTCTCTCTCTCTCTCTCTCTCTCTCTCTCTCTCTCTCTCTCTCTCTCCCTCCCAGTGCAGGGCCCTCCATTCATCTTGGCGGCCGTCAAAACGCGTGCCCCGAGTCGTGCGTCACGCTGCCCGCGTTGCCCACTTCGCTCAATTAAGGATTTGCCAAAACATTCAGTCACCGCAAGCTGCACGGCACTATGCAGAGCCCTTTCCGTCGCTCTGTCTCTCTCGCACCTACATGGGGACGCCCCGTGAGTGCGAGAGAGACAGCGAGCGACGACTCTTGGAGTCTGATGCACCGAGCGCGCCGTCCGCGGAAGCTACCCTCTCTCTCTCTCTCTCTCTCTCTCTCTCTCTCTCTCTCTCTCTCTCTCTCTCTCTCTCTCTCTCTCTCACTCACTTCGCGTGCCCTGAGGCCGTTATCGATTCGTCAAGTCGTTTTGCCAAGTGTCGCGATTTCGCTATTGGGCGGGAAACACGCATTCCCGAGGGTCAACAACTCTGGATTTTGGTGTACACCGAATACATGATTATGCCGAATATTTAAGATTATGGAGAATATTGCGATTATTAAGATTATTTTTGATTATGGTGATTATTTTGATTCTTAGTGAATATTGTGAATATTCGTGATTATTGAAATTATTGGTAAAGATTCTGTGAGATTATAGAGATTATCGTTGATTATCGCGATTATAAATGATTATTAGTGAATATGGGATGATTATCAGGGATTATCGGAAGGAAAAAAGCCCTTACATGGAAAAAATGGTTGCATGTATGTACCCAGCATTTGTTGTGCACATGACACGTAGGCTTGATTATTCGTGATTACGAGTGATTATTGGCAATATTCTGGGATTATCTTTGATTTTTAGTGATTACTATAGCGATTATTATGAATATTTCCGATTATTGTGATTATACTGAATACGGTTGAATAGTATGATTATACTGAATATGGTTGAATATTATGATTATATTACTGATTATCAATGATTACCAACTGAGCGTACACCGAATATCCCGAGTTGTTGACCCCTCGCGCATTCCTCCTTGTTCGCGACTCGGGCGGACTTGCCTCCGGTGCGAAAGTAGGCAGTAAAAACAACAACAGCAACAAAAACCTCACAATCCACAAAAAAATTTCTGAAAAGTGTGTCGGTGGACCGCTAATGCTCGAACCGGCCGGCCGGCTGAATAGCCTTATCTCGGAGAGGGTGGCCTGGACGGCCAGGACCGCTCTGCCTATCTCACTCAGCCGCGCTTCCCCCCAAAGGAAGTCGTGGTCCCTTCTTCATAGTGTAGCAGCCGCGGGGCCCCAATGACGTCACCTGGGCCTCACGGGTCCAACCCCTTGGTCTTTAGTCCTTTGGTCCTTGGTGCCTGGTCCTTGGTCTTGGTCCGCGGTCCTTTGGTGCTTGGTCCTTTGGTTCCTGGTTTTTGTCCTTTGGTCTGGTCCTTGGTCCTTTAGTCCTTGGTCCTTTGGTCCTTGGTCCTTTGGTCCTTGGTCCTTTGGTCCTTGGTCCCTTGGTCCTTTGGTTCTTGGTCCTTTGGTCCTTGGTCCTTCGGTTCTTTAGGTTTGGTCCTTTGGTCCTTGGTGGTCATCCTATCAAGTGTCCTCGGGATTGAGATTTCATCGTCCCCTCTGCGTTTGTGTCAGCGCCGCTACGATAAAAAGGGAGAGAGAGAGAGAGAGAGGTCTCATTTTCCGCCGGGTCACGGCCTTGTCATTCCTATTACGTTCTTTCCTCGCGAACCGTTTCGTGTTTTCTGCTCACACACACACACACACACACACACACACACACACGCACACACACACACACACACACACACACACACACACACACACACACACACACACACACACAGAGGCGAGCGCGCGCGCCGCGGTTCTCGTATTACCAGTCGATCTGTTCTTCGCGCGCTGTGCGGCCGTTCCATAGGCGCCGACCGGACAGTGTCCTCTGCCCCCCCCCCCCTCCTCCTGTCCTCTTCGCATTCTACCCCCCCCTTTCCCCCTTCTGGTGACTTACGTAACACTTGAGCCCGCCGAGCTGCTGCCTGGAGAGAGAGAGAGGGGGAAGCGTCTGCTGATAACACCGCGGGGAGCGTATTTGGGAAACAATTTGGAGCCGCGCATGGACGGATCCAGACGGTCCGGGACACTTTAAAAAAAGGACACCGTTAAAAATTATTATTTTTTGGATTTATAGTAAGACAGTGAAAGAGTCCTCGCTGAACCTATTTGCGGCTGACAGCGGATGGATTTCATCCGAAAGGCACACGACACTCTGAGCGAACTTTCCGCGACGACTTTGCGAACGCTGCCAGTACACTGCTAGTCGCTCTGGAGGTCTTCCGAAACTCGAACGGGACAGAAGATCGAAGGGCGTGCCTGCGAGCGACCGCACAGTGGGCCAGAAGACCGGTGGAGGCCAAAATTCTAGACACAGTTTGACCCCCAGAATCGCTAAACAAGGCTCGAACCGAACGTGTGACTCCACCAATGGATTCCTCGTTCGAAGGGCAATCCATTGGTGGGGTCACACGTTCGGTTCGAGCCTTGTTTAGCGATTCTGGGGGTCAAACTGCGTCTAGAATTTTGGCCTCCTCCACCGGTCTTCTGGCCCACTGTGCGCAGCGCCCGATCCACACGCCGCGCGCCCAAAGTTTGAACCAGACGAATGCTTTCCAGCCTTAGACCGATTCGGTCGCTCTGTCTCTCTCGCACCCACGCGGGACGCCCCGTGAGTGCGAGAGAGACGGACTCTCGGAATCAGTCTGGTGCCGGGAAATGAAAGGGCGGCAGGTGTCGGGGGGCGTGCTTAAATGGGGTGATTAACCACACGCCCCCTCCCCCTCCGGGGCGCTCTGTATCGAACCCCCCGGCCCGGCCTGCAGACTGATTCCGAGAGCCCGTCTCTCTCGCACTCATGGGGTGTGCCGTATAGGTGCGAGAGAGACAGAGCGACAGGCCGCACTTAGGCCCTTGGGCCCCTCTGGGCGTGGGGCGGGGCTTGGCGGCCCGCGGCGCGGCGGCCAGTGACAGTGCAGCCTCTAGTGCCGGCCGGCCCACCGCGCATGCCCGCGCCCCACCCCGCCCCGCCGCGCCCCGCCGCGCCCCGCCGCGCCCCACCCCGCCTCCGCCGTGCCGCCACGCCCCGTCTGGGTGCCGCGCCGCCGCGGTCGGCGGAGAGGCCGCACAGCGCAGCGCGCCGCAGCGGCAGCGCACAGAGTGCCGCACGGTGTGCCGTTCCGTTTGGCCGCGCCGCCCGTCCCGTCGGCTTGGCTTGGGCTCGCCGCCGCGAAGCCGCGAAGCCGCGCCGCCGCGGCCGTCGTCTGGCAGTCCGCGACCTGCGCGCCGAGCGCCGTCGCGTCGCCCGCCCATGCGGCCGCCCCGTGGACGCCGACTCTGCTCGTGGCCAAGCAGGCCGTGGTCGCGCTAGGCGCCCCGCGTCCCGCCCCGCGCCCCGCCCCGCGCCCCGCCCCCCCGGCGCCCCCCCAGTGCCAGGCCGTCGGCCAGCCATCGGCCAGGCCTTCTAGTGCCTCGCCGTGGCGGCTCCGTACTCGGCGGCCCCGCCGCCCTGGGTGGGCGGCTGGCCCCACCAGCACCACGCCGTGCACCCCTCCGTGCACCCCGTGCACCCCGTGAGCGCGCCCCAGCAGCACCACTCCGTGCACGCCGCGCACCGCAGCGCCAGGGTCATGTTCATCCCGGACTCGCTGAGGTCGTGCATGGTGGAGCCCGACGTGTCCACGTACCTGCAGGCGCCGTCGTCCGGACAGGTAAAGGTCGCCGTGGTGACCGCCGCCACCGCGTCAGCACCCACGTGGTACCCGCCGACAACACCCGCGTGTTTACCACCACGTGTTTACATCCGCACTACCGCCGTCTCGAATCTGTCATCCAGCGAGTTCCAGAGGCGTTAGCTCCTCGGTTGTTTTCATCAATGCACCTGTTCAGTGCTCAGGTTTCTCGCTGTCATAGATCCCTCATCAGTAGCATGCTAAAACCTCCCACTTCCCCTCCAGTGTCGAAAGGGTTGCCAACCCCAGCCTACGCAGTGTCTGCCCTTGCTGTCGAGAAGTTGCCTAGCATGCAGGCTGAGGTTGGCTACCCTTTGGAAACAGGTGCATCGCGGCAAGTTTTGCCCACTGGGTCGGCAGCGGCGGCGGCAGGGCAGGGCAGGGCCTCGGCCCGGCGACGTAGGCAACCTGAACGCGCGAGGCAGCGAGAGCGTGGCCGTCGATGCTGTCATTGGCAGCCGAGTGGCGATTGGCTGGTCAGAGAGCACTGCTCCCTTTTGACAACAACAACAACCACAACAACAATAACAACAACAACAACAACACGATGCCGGGTCGGGCCAACTGCCACCCATTCGCTGCGTCCCATTTGACCGGCGCCGGGAGGCAGGCAACCTCAACGCAGTGGAGGCGCGTCACGGGGAAGGAAAAGCGAAACGACTTGCGAAAAGGAAACACGAATCTGAATGACGTTAGGCGGGAAGCACACGCCGCGAATTTGAATCGCAATCACGCGTTATCATTGGATAACCCGGTAGGGGAATGGGGTTCTGACGGCCCTGCAGTTGCTGCTGCTGTTTTTGTTGTTGTTGTTGTTGTTGCGGTAACGTTTGTTGCATCTCGGCCGGCAGTGCCTGTTCGGTGCCGTCCGCGGCCTACGTCATAAATATAAACAAGTTGATCATCAACACACTTTTTCTTGTTCGCGTTTACTCGCGTCGTCCAGCGCGTCCAGCGGCCGGACAGGCCATGCTGGCAGCTATCAGGCTAGCACGAGGACTTTTTTGTTTTGGTTTCGCGCGCTCTCTTCTCTATCTCTCTCTCTCTCTCTCTCTCTCTCTCTCTCTCTCTCTCTCTCTCTCTCTCTCTCTCTCTCTCTCTGCAACTCGCTCCTGGACGACGCTCCTCGGCCGGGAAACGACGGAGACACAGCCAGTCCGGCGGCAGAAATGGGAATCGAACTCTCGAACTCGAACCGAAACGACTGGGACTTGGAGCCGCTGCGCGTCAAAGTTCAAGGACGCGCGAATCGAGCAGCCACTGCGCGTGCCTCGGAAGAGCAGCCCTTCGTCGTGCTGATGGCTCTCTCTCTCTCTCTCTCTCTCTCTCTCTCTCTCTCTCTCTCTCTCTCTCTCTCTCTCTCTCTCGCACCTGTAAGGGACGCCGCATGAGTGCGAGAGAGACAGAGCGACGACTCTCGGAATCAGTCTGCTGGTCAACTGACATACCCGCGGGAAATGTCCGCGGCGTGTTGTTTAGCAGTGTACGCGGATGATGCCCTTCCTCCGGCCCGTCCTTGCCCGTCCTTCGCGTCGTCCTCCCTGCCAATCGTGTCTCCGCGCGCCACGCCACGCCACGCCACGCCACGCCACGCCACGCCACCTGCCGCGCCGAGGCTGGCCGGGGCGCTCCGAGCGGCGCTGCGCTGCGCGGTGCCGGCGGCCGCGGCTACGTCGGCGACGTCGCGAAGGTCGACCGGCGGCCGGCCGGCCGGACTCGCCCCGAAATGTCACCGTCGGCGGCACCAGGGCATCTCGGCACCAGGGCGACCCGGCCCGGACCCGACTGGGGGGACTGCCGGACTGCCGTGCGAAGCCTGCGGAGCGGCGCACAGTGGGCCAGAAGACGGCGCCGGCGGCCGAAACTCCAGACGCGTTTTGAGCTCCAGAGCCGCAAAGCAGGACTCGAACCGAACGTGTGACCCCACCAATGGATTCCGCGTTCGGAGAGCAATCCATTGGTGGGGTCACACGTTCGGTTCGAGTCCTGCTTACCGACTCTGCAGCTCGAAACGCGTCTAGAGTTTCGGCCGCCTCCACCGGTGTTCCGGCCCACTGTGCGGCGGAGCGCGGATTTGTATTTGGGCGATTACCAGTTTTGGGTCCTGCTCCTTTTGGCCGGGTCCCGGTCTGGGTCCCGCTCAATCTGTTTGTCCCTCCGCGGAGCTCTGCGCGCGCGCGCGCGCGCGTGTGTGTCCGGCTGTCTGTGCGTGTGTGCGTGCGTTATACGTGCACTGAGACTTTTACGTCCCCGCGGTACTGGTCTCGAGGCGTGGCTTCGCGCGCCGTGCTGGCCCTTCTCTGTCTGTCTGTCTGTCTGTCTGTCTGTCTGTCTGTCTGTCTGTCTGTCTGTCTGTCTGTCTGTCTGTCTGTCTCCCTTTACTCCTTTCCCTCGGAAGGTTCTTTATTAGCGCGCATGTGTGTGTGTGTGTGTGTGTGTGTGCGTATGTGTGCTTGTGTCTGTGTGCGGCCTGTAAGCGCCGCCGCATCTTTTCCGATCGCCTCGTGACGACGCCGCGACGCGTCCCCGGCGTCCCCTCACACACACAAACACACACACACAAACACACACACACACACACACAACACACACACACACACACATGCACACGCTGCGGCGACACTACCAAAAAAGGAGGACCAACCATTCACTGATTCGAAAGCTGCATGGTGATGATGAAAAGAGTCCTAGAAGTCACCCTGGGGGTTTGGGTTGCGAGCTTCAGGGCGTTGCTCTCTCTCTCTCTCTCCCGTCGTGCTGTCCTGCGGGGCGCCGCTCGCCCGGAAACGTGCGCACCTTGTGGCGGTGCGGCATTGCTAGGCATTTATATGCACCCAGAAACAGAGCCGCGGACGGCAAAGAAGGCGGCACGCTGGAAAACGCTGGAGCGCCATCCAGTGTGGGACGTCCAGGGCGTCCCGCGGAGTCGTCTCCGTCGCTCTGTCTCTCTCTCGCACCCGTACGGGACGCCCCGTGAGTGCGAGAGGGACAGACGGCTGTCTCGCTGCGGGCACACACGCGTGCACTGCGACGCGGCGACGCGCAGCGCGTTCAAAGTGTCTCACTGCCACGTTCCTCAGCGCGTCGGTTTTCAATTCTGCCGCTGGTTTCGCATGCCGGCGGCACTGCAGTGTCCACTGCACTGCATAGACGGTGTCCGCAGACGGCACCTCCAGCCGGCGGCGTCGGCCTCGGCGGCAGCGGTGCCCCCTCGGGGGCCGCGGGGCCCTGGCGGGGCCCTCGGGCATCAAAATGCTTAACTTATCAACTCACATACGACTCGACCCCTCCACCCCCCTCCACCACCCACCTGTCCCCTCCGACACGTCCACGCGTCCTCACGCACACACACGGACACACACACGGACACACACACACACACACACACACACACTGCATGACTTAGTGCCTGCGCGGCTTAGCATTCTTGAGCAGTGTGGCTATGCGGCCCTGGTGCCCCCTCCGCGGCCCCCGCCCCGCCCCGCCCCGCCCCGGTGGTCATACGGCGGGCGTGGCCAGGCGTGGCGGGGCGTGGCGGGGCGTAGTGGGACGGACCGAGCGGGCCTCTCGGCAACGCGGCGCGACGCGGTGCGGCGGCCTCTGCCAGCGCGCTTCTCACTCTGATTGACATTGCAGCCGCGACGGCCTGCCAGCCCGCCAGCCCACAGTGCAGGCGTCTTTCCCTGCGACGCTTCCAGGACGCCTCCAGGACCCTCCAGGACCTTCCAGGGAAGAGTAGGACGCTTCTAGGACGCCTCCAGGACCTTCGAGGACGCCCCCAGGACGATTCCAGGACGCCTCCAGGACGATTCTAGGACGTCTCCAGAACGCTTCCAGGACCCTCCAGGACACCTCCAGGACGATTCCAGGACGCTTCCAGGACGATTCCAGGACATCGGCGACACCTTCGCGACGTGGCACCTGGACGACGCGCCGTTCTCCAGAGAAGCCCTCGGCCTCCAGGACACTGTCAGTCAGGACTCCAGTGATTCGCCCAGTGCCGTGTCAGTGAACTGCAGTGGAACAGTTGTCCTTTTCTAGTGGAGCGGCTGGAGGGTTTCCTAGTGCAACCGTTCGCGGGTTTCCATCGACTGCAACCGTTCGCGTGTTTTCGTTCAAGTGGAAGCGTGCAAAGTGAAGTGTTCACTGAAGTGACATTGTGTGGCGCCGTTTTTTGAAACGACAAACCCGTTAAAAATAAAAGACTGAACCGAACGTTTTGGTGAACGGCGAAGAGACCGCGGCGAGCGGAAGAAGGCAGTGAAAATGAGTGAGGTGACGTCAGCGCACGTCCTAACCTCGCCGTATATAGTGGCGTGCCGCTACCCATGGAGGGCGACGCCGTGCTGACGGTGCGACAGAGACGACGATAGCGACGGTACTCTGTGAAGAAGAAAAGTGCATAGTGTGTGACCAGTGCAGTGATTTGAATGCGTGGTGCGGACTTAGCGTCTCGCGCGCTCAGTGTGGCCAGCAGTGTGACCAACAGTGTGAGCGACAGTGTGACCAACAGTGTGACCAAACAGTGTGACCAACAGTGTGACCAACAGTGTGACCAACAGAGTGACCAACAGTGTGACCAACAGTGTGACGAGCAGTGTGACCAACAGTGTGACCAACAGTGTGACCAACAGTGTGAAATGTGCGCGGAAATGCTAGTGGGATGCTAGCGCCATGTTCCAAGCCACCTACCTCCCCCACGACCACGCCTGCTGGGCCGCGCAGTGCTACCAACAAAACAAGGTGCGTGGGAAAGTGGGAAAAACCAGATGACGTCACCGACAGCCGTAGTAGTTTCACGCACGTCGAGAAAAGTTGCTTTTATTTTTAGACGGGCGTGGAGTTGTCACGGAAAATTGTGCATTTCCCGCAGCGGAGGCATTCCCTACGCAGGGAAGTCCCAAACGCGGCGTTCCTCTGGAGACTCATTCCGAGAGCCGTCGCTCTGTCTCTCTCGCACTCATGGTGCGTCCCGTGTG